TTCATCTTTATAGTTTATAATTCATCATTTTTTTAGTCTTTATAATTTAAAGTTTATTATTATTTTTTATTTTTATAGTTTATAATTCATTTCTATTTTAGTTTTTTATACTTAAAAGTAGTAATTTGGACTCAGGGACGAAAATAAAAATAAATTATAAAGTATAGGGATAAAAATCCAAAAATTTAAAACCACAGGGACTGAATTCAAAAATTTTAACAAACTACAAGGACGAAAAACATAATTTACAAAAATTATTAAAAAGTAAACTTTTGACTAGGTCTTTGACAAGCACATGTTAACGCGTCATAGTTTCCCCAGCTGATGGGAACTTTATTTATTTATTTATTTCTAAGTAATATTTATTTATTGTTTTAAGTTGGTGAAATTAAAGAAAATTCCACATGGAGAAAAAGAATTTACAAAAATAGGTCTGAGTCGACACATGTGACAACTCGAATCATTATTCACTAATAAAAACATAAATGAGTTTTTGATTGCAACAATATCCGTACCATCGTATAAAGCATCGTTTATCAAATGTTTGTTTGGGTAAGCATTTATTAAATTATATTATCTTATCGGATGTATATGACAAAAATCAAGAATCTAATTCGATAAGAGCAAAAGTAAAGAGCCAAGGACCAAGATCTTTTTAGATTAATATATGAGAACGTAAATTCACTATGTTTATAACCATTGAAATTTTTTAGAAGATTGGTTTTTGGAAAGCTCGCATTTTAGTTTGATGCATACATTTTTCCTTCAGATCTTTGAACTGGGTTTTCAAAAAAAAATTATTTGACGACTTTATTTTCTGATAATACAATTCATTTTTTTAAACAAGTTGTCTGTTTTTGACTACTGGCGTAGACCTCAGCTTGGAGTAACTGCCCGAAAAAGCCAGTGAGGTTCCATTGTACTTTATATAATGTAAATTAAAACCTTGTTATGACTTTTTATATTTGATTAGAATATATTTTCAACAGATTTTTTAATAGAACTTTTCAACTTATAATAAGATTTTAATATTGATTTATATATTTTTAGCTGTTATTATCGTAGAAATAACCTTTTTTACATAATTAACATCATGGAATAACAGTATTTTAAGATTCAAGTATTATTTATTATTTTCTTACACCAATAAATAATATATAATTTAGAGAAAACTTCAAATTTGGTCCTTGTGGTTTGTCAAAATAATAAACATTTTTCGTTCCTATAGTTTTGAAATTACAAGGTGATTATCATGGTTTGCAAATCAGATTTTATCTCTCATTCTAACGGTGGTTTAAAAATTCGCTAAATGTGCATTTTTGCCATAATTTTTTTATTAACCTGGATATTCAACCCGCTATACGAGTGGACTAATCTCAGAATGACCACCTGCTTTATAGATAAATAAATCATTGCATTTGAACCTCTGTTACCACAAAAGGATTTTCAACTCGATTTTTACATTAAAAGGAGTACGGACATCGATCCTCTTTATGTTTTTGATTTTTCTTACTTTGAAAATATTGAATTCACCGTGTACTACAATCCCAAAAAGTTATTCAATCATTGTCTTCGTTGACTCCTACTTTTCCACTTCCCGTTAATGGCGCCCTACTTGCTGTTCCTTCTTCAAACCCTCTTCTCTCTCTCTAAAATCCCCAATCTTTCTCTCTCCAAACCACCATGGTGAATCAAATTTTACAATCCGTTTTGGCCGCCATAGCCAGCTTCGCGGTCATCACTCTCATCTTCTCCTTCGTCTACTTGATCTGTCGGACCACCAGAAAACACCGGCCGGACATCGAATCCCGAAACCGAACCAGAGCCGTCCGTACAGTTCCCGATATGGCTACTTCAACGTCCTTCGTCAGCGTCGCCGAGAGCCAGCTTTTTGACCCGACGTTGACCCAGATCGACATGTCGGACCTGGTAAAAGGGACTCGAAATTTTTCGCCGGATCTGATCGTCGGCGACGGCAGCTTCGGCTTGGTTTACAAAGCCAACCTCCCAACCGGCGTCACCGTCGCCGTTAAAAAGCTCGGCGCCGACGCCTTCCAAGGCTACCGGGAGTTTCTAGCTGAGATGGAGACGCTTGGAAAGATCCGACACGAAAATATCGTCCAGTTTTTCGGGTATTGCGCAACGGGTACGGATCGGATCCTTATTTATGAGTTTATAGAAAAAGGGAGCCTCGACCAATGGCTTTTCGACACGTCACCTGAGAATGACACGTCATCATTATCTTGGAAGACTAGAGTCAAAATTATCAGAGGAGTAGCAAAAGGGCTACAATTCATGCACAATTTGGAAACACCAATAATTCATAGAGATATTAAGGCTAGCAATGTGTTACTTGATTCGAACTTCGAGGCACATGTTGCCGATTTCGGATTGGCTCGAAGGGTTGACGGTGCACATTCACATGTTTCGACTCAGGTGGCTGGGACCATGGGGTATATGCCACCGGAGTATTTTTACGGAGCACCTTCTGCTACTGTTATGGGAGATGTGTACAGTTTTGGGACACTTATGTTTGAGGTTGCGACTTGTAAACGTCCGAATTTGCCGATAAAAGAGGACGAGAAGGAGATGCGGCTCGTTGAATGGGCTACGAGAATGGTGTCTCAAAATCGAGAAATGGAAATGGTTGATGTTGGCATACCGAGAGAAGAACTGAAAGATGCAGAGGTTGTGGAGTTCTTCAAGATCGCTACGTTTTGTACCACTGAGTCTCATAAATTACGCCCGAATATGAACGAAGTCGTCGAATTGTTGGATCGGCTTCAAGACGAAGCTACAAATCAGTGAATTCTAATAATCTTTTATTTGGGTTTTTTAGATTTTGAAGAATTCTTAGTAGTATTTTTTGCTTTTTCTTTGAGATTTTATCGGTTTATTCATGAAAATGATGTATGTATCATATATTGTAAAGAATAAGGGGTCATTTACCTAAATGTTTATCTGGTAAACGCTTACCATTAGGCATCAACACTGTAATTTATTCTACCGAATAAGATTGTAGTACATCAAAATGGTATCGTATGCAACAATTTACGCGGTAAGCACTTATCCAGGTAAGATTCGTCACTCTCACTTACCGAGTAAGACTCTTTATCTTTATTATTACTCTTATTGGGTAAGATTTTTTACTATTGTCATGTTCATCCGGTAAGATAAATTATCCAGTAAGCACTTATTGGATAAACGTTTAGTAAACGGAACCTAAAATTCCAAACAAAATGAACAACTCATATTATATAATAATATATGCAAATTGTTTTAGAATACATTAAAATTTCTCTTACTTTTTATCTAGTCTTATAAATAATATCTTTTTGAAGTTTTAAAATTATCCAATTTCTATCTATTTTGATTTGTATTCTACTGATTTTGTAACATTTTTTTATTACCCTGAATATCCAACTCGCTATAGGATCCGACTAATCCATGGACTACCACCCCCACGGAGTCACCACCATTTGAACCTCCATGGCCAATTGGCCACAAAGGATTTTATTCCTCTTTGGATTCGAACCCGAGACCTTCAGGCACTTTTAACATCTGGAGTCTAACCTCAAACCAATCGAGCACCACCCTTATGGTTGATATTGCGACGTTTGATTACATTAATGTCAAATATAATGTCTACTTCAACATAACCCTTTTGTCAATAAGTACCTTCGTTATCAGATATTAAGACCAATAAATTGCCGACTTAAATGCATATAAAATAAGAAATTTTGATTATTTATTACATGGATTTAGAAAAAAGATTTGTCATACTAAATAAAAACTAACTTAAAACTTAACCAAATTGTGAAAAGAAAATATCAATCTTCATCCCATAAACATATAACTTTGGATTTAATACATAATTTAATAATAACTTATACATGAATACCTTTTAAAATAAATAATAAATTTGAAAATAACTTTAGATTTAATACATAATTAAATAATAACTTGTGAAAATTCATCGTAACATAAGTCTAAACTTATCTATTATATGTTTACAAGTATTTAAACCGTCTTGAATGACTAAATTTATTGTGGGTGCACAACAACATGTATGCAATAATTTACCATTTAAAATAGGGGTCAAATAAAACTTTAATTTTTCCATACATAAATTAATATACTGACATTATCAGATGAAATTCTAATTATTTTAGAAGATAAATTATAAAATACAAGGCATTTTTTAATAATTGAAAATTGGCTTGCACCTAGCACTCAAATGTGGCACACCAACAGTTCAAACGTGATTACACATGTGAATAATTTCCACGATTGCAGCTCAATCCAATGTGTTGTTATGCATAAATAAGAAACCGGCAATCTGTGTGGTGCGCTCCATACATCAACGTCAAAGAAATGTTGTTAGGCGGAAAAGAAAACATTTGTTGCATTTTATTTCGACACATTTTCCACAATTCAAATGCATCACGTCTAAGAGTTTGACGACTTACCTTTGACGACTTACTTGCTTGTATCGTGGTTATAGTGTTTTTGGATCAACTTCTTAATGTGAGGGTTGGCGAAATGTCCGAACGAAAATCCGACTTGAATGACACATGGTGTTGTCATTTGTCGGTTCAACTTGGCATCAAATGTCCATATTTGACCTTGATTGTCAAAATATCAGTTAGCTTGAATCGCTCCTCGGCCTCAACCCCAAGCACATTTTTTCGATGTGCCGCTTTAAAGTTGAATTTTCTTCCCCCGTAAGGAGAATTTTGCACATTTTGCATTGTACCTTTCTTTTCCCGTTCGAGAGGATCACCATGTTGCATGCATTCCAAATATTGGACTTTCAAATACCTTATTGATTTGAGCTTGGGCTCCAAAGGTTAAAAGTGCTTGGAGGTCCAAGGTTCGAATCCAATGAGGAATAAAAATCCCCCTATGGCCACGGAGATTCAAATGTTGTGACTCCAGGCTACCCGCGAAGTGGGTGGTTGCTCTGGGATTAGTCGGCTCAAATAGCGGGTACGATATCCATGTTAATCAAAAAAATCTCGGACTTTCGTCCGTGCTCGAAGGGAACTTGGCAACTTGTTCGTTTGATGCATCATGTTGTTCATTGCCATTTTGAAAGACAGAGATAAAGAAATGAGTTGAGAAGTGGAAGTGAGAAAGGAATACGAGCCGAATCACAAGATATAGCGAGAATTGTGAACATTTTTTTTGTTTTTGTGTTTTGTAAGTTGGTATCTTACCCCTACACCATAACACTTATATATAGCTTTTAGGAGGCCAAAATGACAAAAAAAGGGTCATATGTGGTCAACAATGTCAAATTTTCTAATTTTCGGGCCTGGCCAGTCCCATGATCGGTCTTGGTCCGGGCTGGGCCGTCCCCTCGAAACTTCCAAAAATAGCAACCGCTCCCGGGCTGGGCCGGTTTGGTCATGTCTATGCTCATGCAATATTGTAGGATACAAAATTTTTCTAGATGTAAGAAAAAAAGCACGTGAAATCCATCCAAAGAACGATGGCTAAGTTTTGAATTGTTTGTTTGAAATTTTACCCCTCAGTTCATATTACTTGTTAATTAAAGTAACTGTTTAAATAAATCTTGATTGTACACATGCTTGATGCACAAGTGAACCAATTATGCCTTGAGCAACTCATGAAAGAACAATAAACCTCAAGCAAAAGTCTACAGCTATAACTAGTTCAACAGATACCAATGTTCTGGTTTAGGAATGAATATTCAATGCTATTGAGCTAAAAGAAACTTGATCAACAGTAATTAACACTTCTAAAACCCAAGAAATCAGCCATCATGAAATATCAAACACAAAGAGGGATATGGGAGACCAAATGCAATTTAACTTTCATTGATATTGCACACGCTACTAACAACAAAGAACTACAGAGCAAATGCTCGAAACCAAATAAATTAGTAGGAAGAATGCAATCTATGATTAGGTTGCAGGTATCCTAGTGATAGAAGAACAAGTTCATGTGATTATGTACATATCATATGGATCTCTTAGGTGGCGTTTGTTTTTTAAGAGGTGCTGAAGTCTGAAGTCTGAATTCACTTCTGATTTTTAAGAGGTTGTGCTGAAATCTGAAATCTGAATCAGTCAGACTGTTTGTTTTTTGCGTCTGAAATATGAAGTTTGAATATGAGAGATCGAGAGTTGATATGGATCGATAGTTGACAAAGTTGAGAGATGAGAGATCGAGACAGAAGAGTTGATCTAGAGAAATCGAGCGCAAAGAGATCAGAGTAGGTAGGCAACGATTTGAAATAAGAGGTAATAAGAGGTTTCGCAACCACTTAAATTTTCAGACCTAATAAGAGCTTTTAAGCTCTTAATTGGAAAAAAAAAAAAAAAAACACACTGAATCCTCTTATGTCTGACCGATTCAGACTTAAGAGGACATTAAGAGTTTTTTTATTAAAAACAAACAGCCCCTTAATTTTTATAATACTATATTTTGGCTCCTCGGACTAGAACAGTCATGCTCCGCTCCTGCTTACATCAATCAATGCATATACGCAATTCTATTTGTTGTCATAACAATTTGGAGTCAAATATGTAATCGTATTGTACCATTCGTCTTTATTTAAACAATATCTTATCTTATGCAATATCCCCTCCCATCACCACCCCTCTTATATTAGGATCAACAATTTCTTTTAGCCTTCTTTTTTCTTTGATAGAATCTTGAGTTCCTCTTGCTAAACCCTATTACTCCTCATCAATACTTCTATCCACAAGCTCTTTTCTACACACCCCAAATTCTCACACATCACACATTCAATGAAACTAAGGGGCTGTTTACCAACACTTACCTGGTAAACGTTTACCGATAAAATTTAACACTATCATTTACTTACCTAGTGAGATTTTAGTCCAGCAAAACGATACGGTATGCAAAAATTTACCCGGTAAATGCTTACCGTGGTAAGAGTCGTTGCCCTCACTTACCGGGTAAGACTCTTGGTCCTTGTCTCACTCTTACCAAGTAAGATTTTTGGTCCTTATCATAATGGTTAGAAAGTTATGTCACAAAAATGTCTACAAAGGTTCCGGTCTCTCGAATGTTAACTTTTATAGACAATACCCATAAAATCACCACTATTGTTGATTTTAGGCTTGTCGATTTAACTAAGTTAATTTTAATGAATCAAAGTTAGTATGAATATTTTTACTCAAATCTCTTTGTAGTGCAAATCTCGACCAATGTGTGAACCCTAGCAAAAATCATAAAAAACACGTATCTCTACATGGTTATCAAATATTTTCTCAAATCTTTGTGTATCACTCAAATCGTATTTTGAAGCCATCCACCTATAGATCTAGGATATAGTATTAACACTTTCAAGGACCGGCCTGTCCATGCTGAGTTGAAGTTTCAATTCAAGTGACCAAGCCTAAGAAGTAGCAATATTGGCAACCAGAGTGTTCCCTACTAGTTTTAGGTTTGGCTCACACCCACAGCCAAAGAGGTGTTTAGCTCATTATAAAAATAAAGAACATGGTAGAAATAGAGATATAATTAAGAAGTACTTGACTTAAATCATAACTTGAAACTATCACTGCAGTGGCAAGATAGTGGACAAAAGTTTAAAGACATAAAGTTAAATACTACAAGAAAGATATATGCTAAAAAAATATTCTTCCTCTTGATCCAAATTAGTTTTGAGGGTATTGAATGCTCCCATAACCCTTGTATAAATGTAAATGCTCCTTCAAGGCCTCAATTTATAGGAGAGCTAAAAGAGAATAACACTTCCTTTTACCCATGAGATAGAAGCATCAAGTAATCTCCAAGTCAAAATGTCGTCCCTGTACCTTTTTACCCACAAGGTAAAAATTCAAATAGTCTTCAAGTGAAAATGTCTTTATCTGTTAAATATCATTAATGCTTAGCCTTTTCTTTCAATTTTTGAAGTCTCTATGCAACTCAAACAAGATGTTGATCCTTCTTATTCTCCTCGGTGATTTGATGTTGTTAACCTTCGATACTTAATGAATTCTTTTGTTAAGTTCTAACTTAATAGCACAT